TAGGGTAGGCCTTGAGCACCTCGGTGGAGACGTATAGTGTGCTGGTAATGACGATCCGTAACCACATCTAGTAGTTCATATTTCAACGTGTCGTTGTTTATTACCGACAACAGTCGTGTCAACTTAAGCAATAAAGAGCTTAATGTAGCTATAATTTTATTTTAATTTTCTTATAAAATCTCTTTGTATTTTGTGACATGGAATCATCATTACAATGTATCATGATCGTGTAATTTGAGTGCAATTTAAGTGTAATTCTGATAACAACGATTTGAATGTAATTTATTAACTGTGGAAGTAAATAAAACGTACAGTTTTAGTAACATCTTACTTCTTACTTAATATTATAAATGTGAAAGTTTAGATGGATGAATGTTTGTTAGAGTTTGTAGCCTAAACGGCTAAACGGATTTCAATGAAAATTGTTATATATGCAGAGGATAGTCTGAAAGAACACATAAGCTACTTACTTTTGTATTTTCAACTTCCACGCGGAAAGAGTCGCGGGCGAAAGCTAGTATTACATACATGTGCTGCTCTTTCATACACCTATCAGCCGTCATATTTTAACACTCTTTGCACACACAATCCATCCATACTTTCTTCTGTCTTCCTCTACCTTTGTAGCCATACAATCTTATCAAAATTATATTATTGTCATTTGCACACCTGGAACTTTACTATCTCAAAACTGTTTGATCTCGCTTTGATTCCTTTGAGGTAATATGGAGATTACACTACTCGATTTTTAGTTGTGTAACTAAACAGTTGAATTGGCTGCGAAACAATTGACAATCGCACGAAAGTTTTGCGATAGTTAAGTCAAAAGTGTACGCAAGCTCTAACAAATTCATTTACAGCTAGTGATTTTTAAATGCGTTCGTCTAATGTTTTCGGTCGGTGTTTTAAATTGTTTTCCAAGAATCTGTTAATCGGTAGTGATTTGGCCCGTGCCTCCTAAATATGTTATTAAATCAAACTTCGTTCTTAGAAATGAAACCGCTCCAATTTGATATAATCGCTAACAACAAATCTTCGTACTTTACCATTTTAGACAGTCTGAATTGAAATTCAAAATTCTGTCGAGAGATATAATAGACTTATGAAGGTATCAAGGCTGTTTCCCGTTGGGTTTACCGGCCAATCAATGGGAAAAATCCTATTGGACCATTGGTGTAATATGTTTCGTATTTCGATTGATTCGAACGTCGAAAACTTGTGTATCGTCCTAAAGAGGTCCAAAAATATATAAAAAGGTGCCTTACTTAACACTTCATTTTTCACAGAACCATCACTAACGCCATCTATTGATAGATCCACAAAACTTAGCCTTCGACACGACCGAATGAGATTATTTCCTAAGTATTAATACTATTAAAGCTTCTGTAAAGCAATCTAGAGTTAATATTGGGTTGAGAATACGTCATCAGGGGATATTGATGTTAAGTGTGGCAACACTGGGCGTGGGAATAGGCTCACCTTTCCTTAGACGTGGGCGAATAAGTGAAGACGAATTGACAACATTGTAAATATTAATTTGTAGGTAAGGAGTACCAATACAATAATTAGATTTAATTATTGTTACTTAAGGTTTAATAATTGCTTCTATACAATTTAGTGCTACAATTACAGCGTGAATACACAGAAAAAACCATATAAATGTCTTATTTGAATGTTCAATTTTAAAAAGCGTGTTTGTTCTATTTTTTAAAGAATTAATTGACCGACTTCCCAAAAGAAGGAGGTACTCAATTCGTCTGTATGTTTTTTTTTTATGTGTGTTAGGGCATAACTCCGCCGCTAGTGGACCGATTTTGATAATTCATTTTTTATTCGAAAGGTGATGCTTGCAGGTGGGTCCCATTTTTTTGTTTGATTTTTAGAGTCAAAGACTACGACGTAGTTAAATAGTTTAGCTCAAAATCGCGCGACGAAATTTCGGGTCATTTTTGCTTTCTTTGCTTACGTAGCCTAAACTATAAGACCTACATAAAAATGATGTATGGAAGAATTGTAGCCCTTTAAATTTTCACGTTACATCTTTTACTATACTGAACTAGTAAGTCATTTTCTAGTATATTATTACAGTTCGAGTTAAAATCATAAAGTTTTTGAACTAAAATTGCACCAGATGTTTTTGTTTTATGGCGCAGATTAAATGCGCCAATTGAGGTCTTGATTGAAACCTATCTTACTTTTGTTTACATCCTTTGTTTATTTTTGCAAAGGTTTAATGGTGGATACACACTGCCTTGTAGGTTGCCGTTCTTGCAGCATACGTGTTGGCAGGTATTGAATTGTATATCTCTTTACACACACGAGCGTTAGTTTGTTTAATCGTTTTTAAACAAATGTTACGTATAGTTTAAAAAAAAAACTAATTAAGAACTGCTTAATTTCCCGACCGTTGTTTTACGTTATTATATTCACAATTTAAAAAAATTAACTTTGTACGTGGTGCTAAAAATATTTTTTTCATTATTTAGTACATGCGCTCGCTTTGTTATTCTATTGTAGAATTATAAAATCGTATACCTACGTTAACAAATATTATTGGTGACCTGTCTTTATTATTATTACTATTTTATATACAAACATTCAACGTAGTTTGCGCGTAATCAGTTCGTCATTCGGAGTGACCGTGTGTCGCAAGTAATTCCGCACGTCCTTGCGTGCCCGCGGCGGGTAGCGGGCACCGGGCGTCGGCACGGCTCCTGTCATTATGCTACGCACCGGCCGAGGGCCACTGATAATTTGCTTGTAACTCTCATAGTTATGCAAAGATCTAGATCATATTATCGATATCTTTTGGCGAGATTTAAAATTAAGTCGATAACCCAGATAATACCAACCTTACATTTATTATTTTCTTTTTTCTTTATAGAAAGATTTGCATTTTTTTGTATTAAAATAACTCAAAAACTACTAGGTCGATTTCTAAAATTCTTTGACCATTAAAAAGCTACGTTATCAGTGAGTAACATAGGCTATATTGTTAATAGGTTTTAATATTACACGGGCGACGTCGCGATCAAAATGTAGTATGTAATAACTTTGTGGATATCAAGTATGAATTACATAAGACCCGGTTTAAAAACTTCGATTTGTTTTATACAATTAGGACAATTTTAATAATTACACTATGCAGACAAAATATCGAATAATAAAGTAATTAAAACTATCGACATCTGGATAAGCACATCACTAATGCTACCGTGCAGTCGGCAATCAGGCTGTAGGCGTTGCGTGAACTCCGTAACATCGACTACCTACATTGTAACCACTACCTGTGCATATCCTGCCAGACATCTGGTAAAGTGGCCGAGAATGAAGCTTCGAGGAAATTAGACCGTGCTATTTTGTATGATAGCTTCGCAGTTTATAGACATAGAGGTCAATTTAATTTAATTGGACTTCCAATTTGTACAAAAGGCTGTTTTAGAGTAGGGTATGTCTTAGGTTTTTAAATAATATGTTAAATTAATAAACATCGATATGTCGTAGGTTGAGTTTGAGACATTTACAAGCCCTACACTTGCAGTGATAGCACTTTGTTATTTGTTGTTATTTATTTGTTTTGAATACTTAGTTAATATGTGTTATTATTAAACGTTATACATGTATTTTTATGTATATTACAATATATTTGATTGCTAAATACTGTCAGAGAAATCGTAATGTTTATAAAATGTTAACCCGTAATTCTGTGTAAGTTCTACTTATATAACTTGCTACTTACGTTAGTTATAACGTGATCCAAAATACACTTCAAGGCGTGGCAGCCACCCTAAATGTCAGGGGTTGGGGGTTAGTTTAACGTTGAGGGTGAAAAGGGGAGAAACGGAAACGCCTAATGGAGTCGAGTCACGACATTCCAAATAGCCCACGTTAATGTTTTCGTGGAAAACGATTCGATGTTGTATTGTTATACTTCGTTTTATTTTCATGTATAAAACTATATACATGACACACGCTATGGTAGTACATAATGCTAATGAATTCAGACGTGATTACAGTACATATTTTCTGATTTAAATGTATTCTTACGATATTAAATCTGAGATATCTAAAATTATAAAAACCTTAGTGCAAACGGTATTAATGTTTAATCGGCTGATAATTACATAATCATACTTCATACTAATATTATAAATGCCAAAATATAGATGGATGGATGGATGTTAGAATTTGTACCCTAAACTGAACGGATTTCGATGAAATTTGGTATGGATGTAGAGGATGTCTGGAAGAACATATATGCTACTTAGTTTTGTTTTTATAATACCACGCAGGCGGAGTCGCGGGCAAAAGCTAGTATGTATAATAAATGTATAATACGTAATAATGAAATTCCCTTTGATATTTCTTTTATTTGAAAACTTACGCTACGACTCAGTATGAACCGGTTATTTTCTGCTATAAACTGGTTTATACTGGTTATAAAGCTTTTCGAAGTCAGGCGTACCAGGCGAGTTGTAGCGCGAACTTTATACTAACTTTACTGGTTACCAATGTTGGTAAAGTTTGATGACGCTGTAACAGTGATTGAGTTAAAAAGTTGAACATATTGTAGTGAAGAGCACCGAATCAATTGTGTTATGGTTTAATCGACTTTTTTTCTTTTTTGACTAAATCTTCTGAACGGTTAACAAGTGTCGATGAACATGTCATAGACTGACTATGGAGCTATGATTTACTAGCTCTTGCCCCCGACTCCGTTTGAATTAAAAAAAAAATAGCAAGTACCTTATGTACTCTTCCAGACTATCCTCTACGTCTTTGCCAAATTTCATCGATATCCGTTCAGCAGTTTAGGCTAAAAAGTCTAACAAACATCCATCCATCTAAACTTTCGCATTTATAATATTAGTAAGATTAACTATATATAAATTGTAATAATCACACAATTGTGCGATTGTCGATTCAACTGTTTAGTTGCACAACTGAAAATCAATTAGTGTGCGAATCTTCATATAAACTCAAGTTATCGTATTCTCCAGGTGATGTAATATGGAGGCATCGTCATCGGACTACAGCGACGAAGAGGTGGGCGTGCTGGCACGAGGGCAGAAGCTGTGGGTGCGAGGCGTGCGACCACACACCACCTGTGCGGACATTGTGCGAGCGCTGCAGGACGCACCTGAAGGTTAAACCTTAACATACTTCCAAAGCTTTCAAAAGTCAAACGAGCTCTTCTACTAAAAGCTTTAATTATACTTTTCTAGAAAATTATAACATTTATTTTCTTTACAGCAGGCAATGGACTGAGCGAGCAAGGGGAATGGGTCTTAGCGGAAAGATGGCGAGGTGTAGAAAGACCTTTGCCTCCAGATGCACCTGTACTCCACGTCCTAGCCGCTTGGGGAGATGCAAGGCATGAGGTATGTAAGCAATGAAATATAAAAATAAGCTTTAAATCAACTCCACTTTCGGGTGATGTAAATAATTTTGAATCAGAAGATATGGCATTCTTGTTAGACCATTTATCGAATAACTCATTAGATATAGCTGCAGTCAAATTAGTAATAAAGTTATTTTAACAAAACACATATTCACAGGTAAGGTTATCACTCCGTCGATTATCAAGCGGTGGAGAGGATGACTCGGGTCGTGATAGCGACGCCGGCAGTCGAGCCAGTGCGAGACGACGTCGCAAGAAAGGTCTCCGAGCTGCCACGCCACCCCCCAGAGCACGAGAAGACCCAGCAGCCAAACTAGTCTCCATCATACAACATCAAAGCAGAACTATACATCAGCAATTGGACAAGCTAAGGTAAGATAACATAGCTTCCTCATAATATCTTACTAATGCGAAATTTTAGAAGTTTGTAGGCTGAACGGATCTTGATGAAATTTGGCATAGATGTAGAACATATAGGCTATTTACTTTTGTTTTTTTTTCATACCACGCGAATGAAGTCATGAGCGAAAGCGAGTATTTTATAAGAATCTAAATATTCTTGGAAGATCTGGTTTATAGTTAATACTATGAAGCAATATTGCAATTATTAATATTCCTTGTATCCTTTCAGAGAGCAAGAAAAAGTAATCGATCATTTGGAAGATCAAACACACAAGAATCGAATGGAAAAACACGGCACTAACTATTTGCTCGAATCATATCTCAGAGATCTCGGGCGTTGCAGTGAAGTAAATGACAGTCAGGCCGGAAACAGCGATAGTGGTGTCGGCGTCGGCAGCGGTACTCCCCCAAGAAGGCACACCAAACATAAATCAAGAAGAGAAAGACAATTAATGAGAGAACATTATTTTACTAAAGAGTTAACAGACATTTGTCAAGTCAATTCAGAAAGATTAGTACAGACCCACACGGACACGGATTCAGACGTCTCAGCTGATGAATTATCAAGAATACGAGAAGAAATAGAATTACTAGAGAAGCTCGCGATCATTAACAAAAGGTTGCATCGAGAAGAGGAATTAGTAGTCCGATTAACGGCGAAAGTAAAAAGATATATGGATGAGAATAAAGCAAACAGTTGCGAAAATGTAACACAAGTGACAATGCTCCTAGATAAAATAGAAGAAGAGTTGGCGAATACAGCACAAGAGATGGAAAGTAATGCTATCGAATTAGAGAGAACAGATAGAGAAATCGAGAACAGAATTAAATTACTAGATGAGTTGACTTTAGAAGTGGAAGAAGAAGAATTACAGAACACGATACTCGAAAGAAATCTCAATGAAGCTTCATGTCGGCAACCGATACTGCTCCATGAAAGCTATATACCTGTATTGGAGCAGGCTAACACCCAACTTGTGTATGAACCTACAGGTTATGTTCTAGACACGCTTGTATGACACAGGGAGCGGTGCAAAATTTGTCCCAAAGATGAACTTTGTAATTACCATTTATATAGATTTCCAACCCTGATAGTGATCATAATCCAAATCAAAAAACGATCCCCAAAATTTTGATCATGTGTAAATATATTACTTTTATGGCCTGTCCCACCAAATTGTTAATTTACTGATAACAATCGAAAGTGTAAAATATGTGAAGGAAATATTGGATTTTGTTCCCTTTGTCAGCGACGTTATTTTTAGCTATATATCCCCTCTATTGGTCATTGGTGGGACAGGCCCTTAAAGATAATTACAATAATTGTTAAAGATAATGGTGCTAAATCTGTGTATAGCTACTGTATACCAATATTTGTAAGAATAGTTAATATGATATATTTATATTTTGTGTCCAATACCAAAAATAATTTACAAAACCACCAATCATGTTTTATTAGTTAGGGCTAGTCAATTTTGATCAAGTGACGAAATATTCGTTCAGAAAGGGCAAAAAAGCGAAATTGTAATGCAAGAAAATGTTGGATTTAGTTAATGTTGAAATCGCAAGTATTTGGCCTTCAAGGAGTCTATCTTTCTCTGTAAATTAATAAAAAAAATACATGTTTAGCCTTTTTAAATAAAAATGTCACTAAACAATATTGAGCTAAAAGTTTATAAAAATGTATAAATATCCCAAAAATTGTGTAAACTGAAAACTTGTTGAATATGTTTAATTTTAAATGTACATAAAAAATAAATGGATATAGATTTACTCATCTTTTATTCAGTAACAGAAAAATACATTTAATCATTAGTTTTAATTATCGCATACAAAACATCACTTATAGGTTAGATTTAGTCTGCGCACACAAGAAACTAAAGTATCGCACAACTGTTTTATCTCGCTTTCCTTGAGCTTATTTGGAGGTGCGTACACTACTCGGTTATCAGTCCAGCAACTAAACAGTTGAATTGGCTGCGAAACAATCGACAATCTGACAGCATTTGTGCGATAATTTAGCTCTTATTTTAATAATTAGACACAACTTTGACACTGACAGATGTCAATCTCGTTGGTTTTTAAATTAATCAGTCGGTGTTGTTGAATGCAAATGTATGACAGTCGGTAAATCCACTTCGCGTTCTGCTGAGTCGACGTCAGGTAGGGTTGTTCTTCTCGAGGGGTTTGGTCTAACAATGCTCAGCGGCAAATCCTCAAGTCCTGATAGGAAGCCCCATTTCTCATACATATACAATGCTACTGTTTTAGTATCGTTTGATTGTAATGGATTAATTTGGACAGTTAGAAATTGTTCTTCGACTAACGATCTTACAACTTTCTGGGCTCCGCTCTCGTCGAAGACTTCATCGCGAGCTTTCGCGTCTAGTGCCATCGACAGAAACATTGACCATCTAGGTATATAATAATAATGGAATAATTCCGCCCATTGCTTACAAGCGTAGTCTGTTATCTCACCATTCGGACCCCACAACGTTATTTGATTCCTAGCATTTAAATCGTACAAAAATGTATTATCATTAGACACGCTTCGAGCCGCCGACAACCAATCTCGAAGCATAAAATTTTTATTAGTAGCTAAAATGTTTTCCATGTCGTTCATCAGGTCGATAAATCTCATAATTGTGGCGTTGAAAGTCATCACGGAGTGATATCTTTGATTTAATATATCCAAATACAACTGGTCCGCTCTGTACTGTAGCGCTTGCCGAGTAACATCTACGAGATCGTAATAAAAGCCGTCGGAATTGCAA